GCCTCACCGTGTCCTCGTTGTCCAATTTCGACGCCGTGCAGCCCATAATTTACTTGAGTGTTGATAATAATAAAAATAAATTTCTAAAATTTAAATATTTGAGATAACAAGAATGAGAAGGGAAGCAAAACCCAAGTGGTGGAAACCACTGGTTTGAGCTCTCTGTGTGTGTTTGTGGGTGTGAATTAGGAAGAGTGAGAGACAGAGACAGGGAGACGGTGCCGTGAAAGGAGAAGAAGTTATAGTTGTTAAGCCTTGGACTGTTGTCTGTTGCCACTAGGGGACAACTTAGTGGGTTTTTATTATTATTTATTTATTTTTTATTTTTAGGAAAAGAGTAAAGTGGGTTTTCTATTTTTACAAAACAGAAAGTGGGGGGTTAGTAATAAAATATTTATAACAAAAGGTTGGCAAATAAATCTATTCAAAAATGTTTCTTTGTCGGATTAGTCATGCAATTGCAATTGCAAATTGTATAAACCTTTCAATCAATATAATTAATTTAATCATGAATTCTTTGCGGTTTGTTAGTGACAAATTTTCTTTTATATGGAAGGAGTAAGTGGGTTTCTTCTATTACAAAAGAGTAAGTTGGGTTGGTAAATAGAGATAATGGAACACATTGTTTGCTTAAACTTTGTATTTGAATCATTGAAGTAAAACTTCCAAATTGGATATTTAGGGTTTAAACCCTAGGGTAAGATTAAATAGTTAAAAGCCTATGAAGTAAAACTCGGCATAGTCAATGCATATTTTTTCACGTAAGGATTTGATGTCAAAACTAATCGAACAACCTACTTTGATTATGCTAGAAGTTATTAGAAGGAGCCAAGATCCCTAATACTTTTACTATAATCTTTCTCTGCCCTTTACATCAAGGAAAATTGAGAGTAACATGTGACTAAATTTTTCTGTACTTTTGTATCCGTGAAAAATTACTAAAACAAAAGGTCAAACCAGAATTATCCGAAATGGGATGATCGTGATTATTTATTAGATGGATGGATTCTTGATTGCATATATCATCAAAATTAAAAGTTTAATTACAATGTAAAGATGGGGAAGTTGATTTTTAATTATAATTAATTATGGTAATGTTTGTTTAGTTAATGTTGATTACTTTAATTAGTGTTTGCAGAAGGTTGGCTTTTGGTGCTTTTGTTGAGTCCTCGGGGCTTGGGGTTTGGAAGGTGAAGGTGAAGACAGGGTGGATCTTCGCCAAAATTGTGTGGGCCCATTTAGTTGAATTTAAGGTCCAACTGAGTCACTACTAGGCTGTGCCTGGTTGGCTTGGTGTTGGAATTTCGTTGCTGATTAATTTCTGTATTCTTGCTTTTTTTCTTCACTAAATGACAAATTTTCTTCAACCTTTAATATATGCTCGACTTAAAACTATTTTCCATTTTCTATTACGAGAGTTTGAAATTTGTTTTTAAATACAAGCAATAGTTTATATTGTTACTCTAATTTACTGTAGAGGGTCATCTGCGGTGGATGAATACACTGCCCTGATCACCAGACCTAACTTACTCATATTCGTTAAATATAAATTTTAAAAAAAATTATACAACACCCTTTATATAAACGAATATCAAGTTTGTCTTGCTAAATATGAATTAATCTACATTATTCCAAAGCAAATATCTGAAATAGGTCTTGTCCATAAATTCTTAAAAAGATGTCTAAATTTTGTAGTTAGATTTACAAGTTTGACTAGTGCTCCATCCTAATTTTTTTTTTAAAAACTTACTTGTAAAGGGGATAGCATTGTTTTGCTATTTCTGACCAATAACACAATGACACGTGGAAAAATTATCTTACGTGTCATTGCGTTATTAATCGGGGATAGCAAAAAGTGCTATCCCATTGCATGAGAGTTTCTTTCCCATCCCAATTTCAAAATCAATGCTGACAAGTCCAATCCAAGGTTTGCATTATCCAATAGTAGTTTTTAGTATTTTGAATGTTTTACCATTCTCAGCCTTTTGGTAAATATAAATTAATTTATATTATTCCAAAACAAATATATGAAATAGGTCTTGTGTATGAATTCTTGAAAAGATGTCTAAATTTTTCAGCTGGATTTGCGGTTTGACTTTTGCTCCATCCCAATTTCAAAATCAACACTGACAAGTTGAATCCAAATATTACATGAGGATAGAAATGCCCAAACCATCACATTCATATTTTAATCTTAGTTTTTCTTTTTTCTTACTAACTAGCAATTATAAGCATGAACAATGGGACAAAAATTACAAAGTTCTTGGCAACCACAGAGAGGATGATGAATCTTGAAGGGAGAAGCTACCACTCATTGTAAATTATTGAACCAATTAATTGGTTAGGTGCACTTGAAATTTCAATCATCATATTCTAGTTTTGGTCATTCATTCCATCATTTTCCAATTCTTGGGTTTTACTCATTTTTTTTATAATTTTTTTTGTGGGGCCTTACATTCACTATGGTGGTCATGCACTCATTGTATCATACTCTTTTCAAAGAAATATTCCAAATTGCAAAGCATCAAAAATGGCAGAGAAGCATATGTATACATAGATATTCCCCAATAAGTGGAGCCTTTTAGACAAAAGTGTAGGATATAGAGATGAGAGGGAGACTTGACTGTGTGAAAGGAAGAGAGATAGAGAGATTCAAAATGGTTAAAGTGACAGTTTTTTCTCCTAACTTTGTATTCCCATGGCCTCACTGGACCCAACCATCACCTTTTTTTTTTCTTTGAGAACAATTTTTGATGAGAAAAGTGTGTTTGGCTCTAGACCCTTTGCTGTTAAATTTGAAACTTAACGGTGTGAAAGGTTTTCTTTTGGTTTTTCTGCCCCACATTGTATCAGTACAATAATAATTATTATAAATTCAAAAAGAAAAAAAAAGAAAGAAAGAGGAAAAGGTAGGGTAAGGCCATGTTGAAAGCTTGAAACCAGTCACTGGAATACTCCTATTCTGGGTTTTGAGGTGAGTGAGTATCTGATTCTTCTTAACATTGCAGGGATGTTCCTTTCAAGATATTCTTCATCTTTATTTATTTGTTGAAAATCTGAAAAGTTTATTCTAATCTGAAATGTTACGACCTACCACGAAATTTACAGGGACTCCTGCGAAATTGTGTCAGACTGTGAATGCTCTTAACTGCTTGAGTTATAAGCTCCTTGCGAATCAAGATCATTATTAAGAGCGATAGACATTCGGATTTATCTGACTTACGTATTTCTCTTGTATTTTTGTTTGTTTTTCCGCTGCATCTCGGTTTAAATTAATGAAATTTCATTTTTATATGAACAAAAGAAGACATGACATGACATCACATGAGAATAAAGAAAAGTTGAACCTCTTGTGCTGAAACTATTCTTACGACTAAAAACTAAAACCTGTGAACACTCCAAGCCCCTTAACTTCAAGGTTTCAACATTTGATCCACACGCCAAGCAGTCTAGCTGCATGCTTTTTTAAGTTATAAATAGAAACCAAGTACGAAATCCTAACAGATCTTCTCAGACTTTTTTATAACAGTTGGTGACAGACAGAACCCCAAACTATAAACAAAGGCCAAAACCATGACTTCAAAGAACAAGCTGCAACAAAATAACAATAAATAATTGCCCCTTTATTATAAAAAAGAAAAAAAAAGAAGAAGAAGAAGAAAAAAAACGACATAAAAAGACTTTGCCCTAAATTTGGGTGTGACAATTTATAAATATCCCCTGCGGTTGAGGCAGAAAAGTGGAATGGAAAGGAGTGATGCAAGGGACACCAATCCAAATAAATGATGCAATTTGCTAAAGAAAGTGGGATCTTTCTGTATTCCTATGTAACTCTACTTTTCCACCACACTAGATTATCAAATTCAAATTCACCCCGCTTTTATTTTTTCCCAACTTTTTAAGGCAGTGGGGCCAAAATGAAAATGAACCAAGAAAAATGGGATTACTCCTCTTACTTACTCCTGTAGCATAGAAAGCAAAATTTATGAATATATATATTGAGAGAGTTTCTGTTGAGGAATTTCTCAAATAAATTTGTTTGAAGGATACTCTAGTAGGGCCCACTCTGCATTGTATTTCACTAATCAAATTGTCTATTTTGTAGATATTCATTCAAAGATCATCTCAACAACAAATCACTTGAATCCGATATCATTTGACTACTCAATTAAATTATTGAAATTTAGGTACTTTCTTAGAGTATCGTGTTTATTGATTTTGTTGGTCTCAATTAGATGCCTTAAAGATTTTAAATTTGCATGAATTTTTGCAAGGATGATCTATGAATGAAGATTTGAAAAATAGATATTTTGGATCGTTGAAAAAAATTTCGTAAGGGACCCTAAAGGGTGTCTCTCAAATAAAATTATATATATATATATATAGCTTCCATTGAGGGATATCTCAAATAAGTTTATTTGAGGGACATCTAGACCTGACAATATTGCACACGACCTATTAACATGACACGAATTAGCATGAAATTATCAATATTTGGGTTGAGCTTAATGGGTCGGGTTGAAAACGAGTGAA